GAGGTGGAGTTCACTTCTGTGGAGCTTCCCTGGTTCCTTAGTAAATGGAGATGTCTTGCCAGAGAGCTAGGAATGCCTTCACATATGCAATCTCAGCTCCCTTTTTTGTGTCTTTTGCAGGAAAGATGTAGCTAAAAGATGATATTATATATAATCATGGTCATTTGGGGACCAACTCTCTCTATAGTTCAATTTTTATTAGGGCCAGCTAATGTTAAAGTACAATATAACGTCACAAACTTTTATTAATGATTGAGGCGATACTGGAGAAGAGAGTCTAGCAGAACAGCAAGGGTAGTTTCCCATGACAATCTTCAATGAAGAGTGGGAAATGGCGAGGAAGTGAGAAAATGGAGAACTTTTGGCCTGCTACTCCAAAAAGGACATCCCTTAAAGATAGAAGAACAGGGCATATATTCCCAGGGTGTCTCTTTATGGAATCCCTCCTCAAAAGAGTGAATGTCTTTATGCTCAGCTTAGATGGACATAATGCATTATCACGTTTGCTTCCTTAGAGTTAGGGATAAGCTCCTACATAACCTATGTCATTTTTCTTACTCTAGTGTCCCTGAAAACAAGAAGTGGCTTTTGGCATCCTCCAGCTAGAGAATGTGATCTCCTTCCAGTAAGCCTCTTATGAAAGGTGCTTCTGACTTAGGTGAGGTTAACTACTGAATGAGAAGTTGAGGGGATTATGGGAACTAGGCATAGTTAAAGAGTCATGTCTTACTCTAATCCAGTCTTGGCAAGCCAAGAAATGTTATCCCCTGAGGAAAGTGACAATTTCCTCAGGGCTTGGGTAGATCCATGAGATGTTTTATCAATATGATACAATTAGGAGGAGATTCTTCCTAGATCAGTTTATATTGTCGAAAGGTCTATACTCTAGACTGAAAAGGACTAGAGAGTGGTGGAGAATTTTTGGTAGTATGATAGAAAAGATTGTATTTTCTCACTCCCGGTGGTCAGAGTCAGAGTCACTTCCAGCTGTTTGGCTCTTATCAAAGAACTGGACATCACTGCTGGCGTTTGTAATGTACTTGGCAGCCTACATCCTTCACTTGCATGTAGTACACACACTCACACTCTGACATCGAAGGATGTCAGACCTCTCAAACTTCACCTGCATGTGGCTACCTGTGCTGTCATCTCTGAACAATAACACAGACAGAACTCCAACCAACATGCCTCATAGCAATCAAATTTAGACATTTTCAATGAATCAAGTACAAACAGATGGGTCGTCAATCTGACAAAAACTGGTTTTAGGTTCAGGTACAGTAAGGCCAACTGTGTTGTTCAAGTGAACCCTTAGAGACAATCCCTTATTCACTATTTACCACATTATGCCTATGCAGAGTTGAGTGTGCACTTGATTAAAATCAGAGGTAACTGGAAAGGAACATGTACAGTGGGAAAATGAATATGTGACTTAATCTGTTGTTCAAAATAAAGAACTTTCCTATGTTCTTCTAAATTCCACGGGGACCACCAAAAGTACTCTCATTTGTGGTCCTTTCTGTTGGTCTTAACAGCATAGCCTCCTATAGTTTATACTATCACTTAGCTACAAAAAAAATTACCTGTTTGTTTTACAAATCTATATGAGCACTTATTCAGTTCCTTCAATAAGAGACCAAGAAACTGGCAACACCCAACCTGGGCCCTAACAATATTTTACAAGAAAAAGCACAAAGAAGGACAACTATAAATTCCAGGACACTGGAGCACTATCCAGGAAAACCAAAACTTAGATATCAACATATCCAAACAGAGCACAATTTATATAATTAATGGTAAATAATTAGCTGTTGTCAAATGATAAATTAACTTTCTGTATTCTATTTGACTTCACCATTTAGAACATTTCCTCTTTGGAAGATCCAGGTTGTGGGGTAGAACAAGCACTTATAAATGAATGTAAATATACTAGCTGGTTCGCCTAGAAAATATTTACATAGTCATAACATTAGAAACTGCACTAACAGGTGTCCAATTTTAAAAATCAACTCAAAATTTAAGACATTTCACAGAGGAAACTATGAACTACAACATCAGAATTATCTGGAAAGTTATTTTTTAGATTCTTTGATCCCACCCTATAGATTTGACACACTGTGTATGTCTGTCTAAAAGAATAGCATTTTAAACATTTTTTAAGTATATGTTGAGTGATGTTAGTCTTAGTTGTTGTCTTAGTTACAGATTCCATTGCTGTGAAGAGACACCATCACCATGGCAACTCTTATAAAGGAAAACACTTATTAGGGCTTTCCTATAGTTCAGAGGTTTAGTCCATTATTGTCATGGCAGAAAACATGGCAGACATGGTGATAGAGAAGGAGTTGAGAGTTCTACATCTTGGTCTACAGGCATCAAAAAGAGCCTCTGTGCCATACTAGTTGTAGCTTGAGCATATATGACCTCAAAGCCTGCTTCCACAGTGACATACTTCCTTCAATAAGACCACACCTCCTAATAGACCACACTCCCTATGGCCAAGCATTCAAACATATGCCTCTATGACGGCCATACGTATTCAAGCCACTACAGTTGTTGTATTAGTCAGGATTCTCTAAAAAAAAAATAGAAATGATAGAATGTATGCATAATAAATGATAATTTATTAGACTGGCTTACACAATATACAAGGTAATTGTATACCATGTGTATCATACCAGAGAAGCTAAGAAACAAGTAGTTGTTCAGTCCATGACGCTGGATCCTTCAGCAGTCCCAATACATTACTAAAGGCCTGGAGGATTCCTAGAGAGCTTCTGATCTTCAGTCCACATTGGAAACCCACAAAGCAAAGGAATCAGCAGTAGCAGCAATAGGTTCCATGTATGTGCCAGCAGGAGTGAATGCAAGTAGGTGAAAGCAAAGCTTTTCTTTCTCCATGTCCTTTTTTTCTGGGATTTCACCAAGTGATGACACCCACATATAGGGTTGGTCTTCCCACTTAAAATAATATGATCCAGAAATACCTCAGAGAACACCCAGCTCCAGATCCAGCCAAGCTGACAATGCAAACTAGCCATCACAGTTGTCAACCTGACTTGATCTGGAACTGACTAGGAGATAAGCCTCTAGACAAGACCACAGGGCTATTTCCAGCAGGATAAAGTCAGTAGAGAAGATTTTCCCCCAGCCTGGACAGTACCTCCTAAATATAAAGAGGTCCCATAGAAACTGCTGCTTCTGTCTGCTCAGCTTTACTCCTTGCTGATCAGGGTATCTACTCTGTTGCTGCTATTACTCCTGCCATTTTACACTGATATGGGAAGCTAGCTTCTTTAGCCTTCCTCTATAGACTGATGACGAGGAACCTTCCAAGAATCCTCCAGGCCTTCAGTATCATCCTAGGATGAAGAGGCATCCAGCCTCCTACCAGCTTCTCAGCCTCTCTAGTGGATAAATATTGTTGGATTACCCTGCCCATATTGTGTAAACCAATCTAATACATGCTTTTTAACATATATTTATTTTATTAGTTCTGTTACTCTAGAGAACTCTTACTAATTATACACAAATTATATACACTACATTTTGAAAATCACAGCTATTAAGCAATAACATCCAAAAACCTTATTATACATCTTAAAATCAAAAAGCTTTTGAGCTTGAGTACACACTGCCAATATATATTTATTTAAAAATGTGTACACATGTATTTTCTACAAAATATACATTAGTATCTTAAAAGTATAAAGTAGAAATTATAAAGGTTGAGAAAATAGCCTAGCTGATATTTCAGTATTTCCTTCTGCTCAACCAAAACGCAATTAAAAATTGAGGATAGCATTTTAAGTTGGAAAAAGAAGAATGAAGAATAAAATCACAGAAATGTCAATTCAACAGCCAAGACTTTCCTAGAAAGCTTACACTGTTTCAGATTAAAAATAGAAATGGAAAACATTTAATCTCAATCTTAATACTGAAGAAGCAACCAGAGAGCTTTAACAAAAAACATAATTCTGAAAAAGGAAAGTGTGATTGAAAAATTGGACATACAAGCAACATGAGAAAAGGCCAATTACAGTATTTTAGGAGTCTACGATGATCAAGGATGGTCAATTTTGGCATAGTATGGCATATATCACAGATTTTAACATGAAAAAGAACAGATAAGGTTAGAATAATACCAGGGCTAGAGACTCCAAAGAAGAATACAGCTGAAGTAATCAAAAGTGATAAACAGGTTACAGGAGCTTGATTCCAGCAAAGAAATGAGGAAATGAAAGGATATCCATATGTTTAGCTTCTCATTTAGGAACCATAATGAAATCCATTTAATAGGAAAGCAAGTGTGTTAATCACTGTGTTAAATATCAGGGGACTACTGCATACTAAATGTGTGGTGAGGAGTACCAGCATCACTCCAGTGTTTCTAATGACCACAGAGAGGCTCCATAATCCACAGTTAAATGACTGAGCATCCCTACAGGGCAATATTGAAGAATAAATGGAAACTCTCAACTTACTCCAGAACACTTCCCCTACTCTGACAAAGTCATCTCAGGCTTTCAAGTACATGTTGCAATTACGTAATGAAGAAAACTGAGTCAGTCTAGGAAGTTCTCTATCAGGACAACCTGGCAAGTAAGAAGCCAGACAACAGGCTTCTCCTAAAAATGAGGCATACTTTATACACTCTCTTAAGCCATGCCTAAGCCGTAGTTTTCTCATACCTGCAAACTGATTGGAAGAAGATCCCAGCACTTAGGAGAAGCAGGTGAATGAGGTCATCCACAGCTACATAGCAAGCACAAGGTCAGCCTGGGCAACATGAGACCCCATTTCGTACATGCACATCATATACATGTGAGCAGAACAGAGGACCTATATGTACTTGAGGAATCTGGCATTTCTTGTTATAAACCTAGTAATTACAATGTTGTAATTATGACTGACAGTTTTAAACTTTACACTGAAGACAAATCAATCCAACAAACCCTACACACATAAAAAATAAAAATAGTAATAATTTGAAAGCTCACCTTTCCACAACCAAACTGACAGTTTGAGTGAGATCTGGATTTGTTGTCTGAAGACGTTTCCACAAAGACCATACAAATTCTTTGTCAGCCTTAAGGAAATAAAAAGTATTTTAAGTGCATTGTTTTGTATTCATATGAGAATTATATTATGCTAACTTTAAAGATGGAAAACAATCATTTTACCACTGTGTCTGTTATTATACGAATGAATCCTTTTAAAGTACTGCAGGAAGGGGCTGGAGAGATGGCTCAGTGGTTAACAGCACTAGTTACTTTTCTAAAGGACATGGGTTCAATGCCCAGCACCCAGAGTGACTTACAATCATCCATAACTCCATTCCCAGGGGGTTCTGCCCACTTTTTGATTCCTTGGACATTGCACATACATGATACACAGATGTACATGTAGGCAAAATATCCTTACACCAAAAGAAAAAACTTTAGACCTTTTAGAAGTGTGGTAGGAAGACCTTCCTTTAACAACTCCTTAAATTGACAGTCTGTTGTTCACCCTTTGTGGTACAAATGCTGCCATGGAGATTTACTCTAAAAGGTGCCTGCCCTACGCCAACTGCTCTGCATTGCAGTTCCCTGGACCACAAAACTCCAGGAAAGAGCGGCATGGCCGCTGCCTCCACTTTCTCACCCCATTCACTCCGCAATGTCCTCCAATAAGATTTTCTCCTTCCCCGGGGAAAAGACCTGGGGGCCCTTACCCCCTTCTGAGAAGCTATGGCAAGTCCATGGCTTCCAGAGGAAGAAAGCCAGTTCTCTTTAAGCGTGTGTCCCCTGGAAGATCAACAACGTTCCAGTGAATAGGCCCACACACAGGCATATATGGACAGCATGAGTTGGACTCAATGTGTTATTCTGAGTGGCAGGGAGAAACATGGGGTAAGGAGGTAGAGTAGATTTAGGAGAAGTTAAGGGAGGAGTGGGACGAATACAATGAAAATGCATTGTATAAAATCCTCAAGAAATTAATAAAATATTTTTTAAATAAAGACAAAAAAGGTCAGTAATTAAAAGAAAGTATTTATAAAAGATATATCTGATAAAAAAAATACTTATATCCAAAATACACAAAGAATTCTTAAAAATCAGTAGTTAAATAAACAGGGTAATTTAAAAAGAATAAGTTCTAAACAGATGTCTCACCAAAGAAGATTACACATGGAAAATAAATTTCTCTCTATACTAACATGCTAACATTATTTCCAATGATCTTTTAAACTGCCAAACCCAGTAGACAGTTTCAAACTTATTGGATACAGTTATTATTAATTCTGGTTGACAGAAATCACTTTGGAGACCTTTAAATAAAATGACGTAGAGGTTTTGATTAACTGGTCTCAGATAAGGTCCAAGTATTAGAATTCTTTGAAAGCTCTGAGGTGTACTCAAAGTTAAAAGTCAGTGACCTACCTGATCTTATGTAAGAACCATAGTTTTACTAACTAACCTCTCTATATTTCATCTCTTCAGACTTGTATTGCCAATAACCTACGTGGCAATTCCAAATAAATGTTTAAAAGGTACATCTTAAATTTTACTTGTCTGAAATAAAACACTTGATCCACTACCCTCTCATAAACCTGCCCTTATGCATGTCCGAAATGCATCACCATCTCATTTTCAAATAACGTAGAATTCAGTATCTCTTTTCTCCATACTTTTTATACACCAGAAGGCCATATCTGTAAACTGTATCCTTATTCTAACCTCTCTCATGGTAGTCCAAATCAATCCCAATTCTTGTTTATATCTCTACAAGTGGCTCCTAGACTTGCAGGTCAAAATTTCAACAGATTCCCATTAGATTGGATGAGTAATCCCAACTCTTTACCAAGACTCTAAAACTTCATGTGATCTGATCTCACACGCAAGTCTCCAAGACGAGTAGCATGTTCCCCTATCCTCAGGCTGACTTCCTTGCTAGGTTTTTGTATAGATTATTCCCACACTTAATTCAAGCCATTACTTCAATGTCCCCTACTCAAAAGAAGTTGCTGTGTTTATAACAAAACCCACAAGTCTGTTAACCCACTGTCCTATTGTCCTATTCCTATTTCTTTTCTTTTAAATGTGTGTGTGTGTGTGTGTGTGTGTGAGAGAGAGAGAGAGAGAGAGAGAGAGAGAGAGAGAGAGAGAGACAGAAAATGGGACATGCTCTTGCCACAGGGTGTTATGAAAATCAAGGACAACTTTGGGAGTTAGTTCTCTTCCTTCACTGTGGGATCTAAGAGTCAAGCAGCACTCTTGATCACTAAGTCATCTTACCAACTGTCCAAGCTTTCTATCAATGTAGTAAAGACACCATAACCAAAAGCAACCTTGGAGAGGAAATTATTTGGTTGGCATGTATGAACACAGCCCATCACTAAGGGCAAACAAGGTAGGAATTTAAGCAGGGCAGGAAGCTGGAGGCAGGAACTGAATCGGAGGCCATAGATGAATGTTGCTTGCTTGTGCAGCCTCCTTTCCTATATAACTCAGGAATACCAGCCTAGTGATGGTCCTACTCACAGGGGCTGGGACCTCACATTATCAGTCATTAAACAAGGACATAACTCTATTAGAATGCAGCTTCTCACTATGTGAGGAACCCAACTACAAAATACATTCTCAAGTATTTTTGTGTTTGTTAATACCTGACAAGGCTTTAACATAGCTATATACACAATACTTATAAAATATAATTTAGTTCTCTGCTCAAACTTTCCAATTTCTAATACATTATGCTTTCAAAATCTTTATCATTAAATTTGGTAAGTAACCTATATGTGTCTCACTTAAGTGTCCTAAATAATTTTCACCCAAAACTGATTTAAGGTTAGTAAATGTTGGTTGCTACCTCTCCCCCCGCCCCATCTCTCAACCTAACATCATTTTGTTTCATCTGCTAGTCTACAAATGGTTATGAATGTGCATATACACACACTTTCCTGCATTCTGTCACAAACAGGATATAGTCTTGAAAGATGTAATAGAAATGAATTACAGACTGGAAGTAATCACTAAACAAATTAAATAAGGCATTAAAAACATCATGAAAATTCTTTGAAAACATCTTAGGAAAATGTTACATTTAGAAGCTACTCCTCTGCTCAGTAAACACAACAGGCTGCATTTCACTCCATTTAATCTACCTTTCCCTCAGCTGACTATGAAAGGCAGTTTCCTTGCTAACCTGGGGCCACATTAAAAAAAAAATGTGCTAAACTAGGTAACACAATCAAATGCTCACATGGAGAGAATCATTTGTTTTCTGCCATGTTTCTTTCCTGAGGCGCTCCAAGAACAATAAATGGAAACTTCTTCACTGATCATATATAATAAAATAAATTAAATATTGGGGGAAGGGGGACTAACCTAAGGTCAGCACCACTCATGATCATAGACCCACAGCAAAGCTCTTTTCCCAGAGCTGCATGCCTGAACCTTACAGAGCTGTAAAATTAATTTGAATCTCAGTAATATTTTTAAAAGAAATTTACAAGAGTTGATGACATTCGGTTAGCGTAAGTAATCTGTCTGCAACTGCATATACCTGTTCTACACCTATTTGTGTTCCAAATAAGTTGAGATACAAGATGAATTTCTTAATACGGGTTGCAATCTTTAACAAAATTTTCATAATACTATCTATTCTCAGGCGCTGTGATTTATGAGTGAATGATAAGTAGAATTCATATGAAAAATCTTACAGAACTGGGAGTTTATTTTTCCCTACCTAGTCTTCCTGAGAGCGGGAGTCTGGTTTGGCTATAATCTTGGTGACGAGGGAAGCCTCATTTCTGGAATTTATTACTGAAATGTTTCAGATCGTCTAGCTTTTAAGATTATCAAATCTTAAGAATTGCCATTCTAAGCTAATTAGGACCGTTTCTGTTTCTTACATCTGCCTTAAGTATTGCAATCATTTTCCAGTCCAGGAATGCCCAAGATCACAAAGGCCAATGCCATATTGGAAGCCTCATTTTTTTTTAAGGTTCTAAATATGTGAGTCGAGTAGAGGGACAGTGTAGAAAATGTGGGCAGTGTTTTTAGACTGTTACTTTAACAAAAGCCTTTAGCATGAGAACACACCTGCATCTTTAAATTCCCCAAGGGTGAGGGTTACAGCAGAGAAAACGCTTTAGCTCGTTAGTATCCTTTATTTATCCCTTTGCTCTTTTGCCAGCGAATAGAAAAATAGAAAATGAAGGCGGGGCAGTCAGCTGCTTCCCAATCTATTTAATCAAAGTTCTATTCAAGTTAAACAAGAGTCTCTTGTTTGTACAGGACAGACTTATAAACCGGAGCAAGAGAACCCAACGGAGCTTAGTGTAAGAGATGCTCTTCTACTGTTTTATTAGTCTAAACTGGTCATAGTGCTCGCAAAGCAGTCTTGGCGTTGGCTGTTCCTCATTAGTGTCTCTTAAAAATGGCGATTTAATTAATACCTGTAATTAAATGAATGAATTCTCAACATTTTTATTTCCTAATCCTAGATTTGGGCCAAATCTAAAGAGATGGTGCCAAGAAGGCAAAACCAAACCAAACAAACAAAAAACTATTTGAACTGAAGCTCACTTTACCAACCACAAACCCTAAAACTAATCTGAAAAGTAATGTGAGTGCAACTGATTTAACAACTGCTTTCCACTGCCGAGCTCACAAGAAAGGATTTGCCACTCATGAGCTATGGGATCACTCCAAGCTAATAAATGAAAAAGGAACATCCTAAGTGTGAAGCTCCCTGGTCCCAGCCCTTCTCAAAACTGTGATTGTGTTTGGAACTTAGTTTTCACAAGATAAGAACAAGGGTACACGTGTGGGTTTGAAATTTAAAAACAGTCTACTTCTATCAGTGAATTTTATTTTTGTGACGCGGTCCTGTTGATTGCAACTCGTGGATGCACTCCTTCCGTGGGCACTAGGTACCACCAGACACCACCAGGAAGTTGGGCTTTGAGGAAGGCGCCTCTGGAGAGCATCTATCCAAAGGAACCCCTGCTCTGCAGAGGGGCAGAGCCTGCAGGCCAGGCAGTGGGCAGAGCCGGCCTGGGAGCCTGGAGGGTACATCCCGGGAGGGCTCGCCAGAAGCCCGAGCCGGGGCGGCAGTGGTGGGCGCGCTGCCCCGGGCCGGGGCGATGGACGGGAAGGCCAGCGGCCAGTCCTGATACCTGACACAGGGCCAGCTCCTCCCTGAGGCTGCTCAGCTCTTCCTCCAGCAGCTGCGTCCGAGTCGCATTCGCCTCCACCACGGAGAGGCCCTCCAGCCGCCCGCAGTCCGCGGGCGCGCTGGCCACGGGAGCTAGAGCGGCCCCGGCCCGGCCCGGCGCCCGCCGGCCCCCTGCCCCTTCTTCGTCCCTCCAGATTAAGCGGCTCCCATCCGCGACGGCCACCCTCGCGGTGCCCGCCAGACCCGAGGCCTCGCTGCGCACGGCTTGCACCTCGGCTCCGCGCCGCCTGATGCGCGGGGACCGGCGGGCCGGCTGCGGCGCCGGGGGCGGGGGCGGCGGGGCGGACGGCAAGCGCGCCGCCATGGCCGCGGCGCTCAACGGGTCAAGTTCCCGCCCGAAAACTCCACCTTCCCCATCCTGAGACCCGCGGCCGGCCTGCGGCACTGCGCATGCGCGGAGCCTTTCCCGCCTCGCCCGGCGCTCGCGGGTCCCGGCCCGCTGCCCGCGGCCCCAGGCTCCCAGCGCGGGCAGCCGACGGCGCGTGCGCGCCGGGTGGGCGGCGGCTCGGCTGGCCAGCGCCCTGCCGGCGCCTCCACTGTCCCGAGTGCGAAGTGCCCGCGCTTCCCACCCTCCTAAAGCCCCAGCTCCGCCGAGGACCTCCTTTCCATCCCTCCCCTTAAAGCCTTCCCGACGAGCCCCCAGCCCCCAGCGATCCCGAGCTGCGAATCCCTCCTCCTCCAAGGCTTCTGCCAACTCGTTTTTCACGTTTCATTGACCGCCCTCAAGTGTTAGTTACCCCGCTAATCTCTCCGACGCTGCTGTAAGCTCCTTGAGGATCAGGGAATAGGTTTTAGAGCTAAGTGTTTTCTTCACACCCCTTGGCAACGCCGCGGTACGTGGGGCTGACATCCAGCCGACTGAAGTCAAGGAGACGCGGAAAGCCTCGTGCTGAGCTGGGACTATCGAGCAGGCTTCCCACTTGAATTATGATCCTTCCTACACCCTTTGTCTTTTGTTTTGCAAGAGTCATGGTTTCCTTTGAGTCTTTATGTCAATTTCTTTATCCCTTGGCTGGATATCAGAGCAAGTTTGTCCTACACGGCCCAACAGCTTGGTGTCCTTGGACAGATCTAAAGTCAGCAATAGAGTGTGATGAAAGAAATGAGACCGGCTTACTTTCTCTTTTAGTCTCGGGCTCTCCTTACTCGCTTTGTTAAAAACTTCAAACACTCAATAACCTTTCTTTACCCTTAAAACATTTCCTCACTGTTGCTAAACTTAGTAAAGGCCTGAGAAAGACAGGATTACTTTTTTTGTTTGTTTTTTTCCCAGAAGTTTACAGGAGATTTGTAGTAGGTATGGAGACACCCAACGTGAAGTGACCATTTTCAAATCATCTCTGCCAGAATTTAGTCACCATGACAGAAGGCACCCCCTAGCCTTCCTTCCCACCTTGTGAAGTATATTAAAGAATTGCATTTTTTGCAGTACAGTAGGATTAGGGACTATGGTTCGATCCATGAATTGCTTGTTGTGAAATCATGATCATCTGAGTTCAATCCCTCAGAACCCACATTTTTTTTTAAGCCAGCCACCATGATGTTGGAAGGCCTGTAAACCTAGAAGTTAGGAGCAGAGATCAACAGATCCTTGGGACTCGCTGACCAGCGAGTCTAGCAAAATCAGCAAGTTCCAAGTTCACTGGGAGACCCTGTCTCAAAGAAAAGAGCTGGAGAGTGATCGAAGGAGACACAGGACCTCAGGCCTCCACACGCTCAACATTGTGCACACACATGAACAAGTATATACACACACAAAACGTGCACATAAAGTTGTTTTACAAATAGCTATCATATTTAACATTTGCTGAGTCAATGATAATTTTCAAATATAAATTTACTTATTATCTTATGTTAAATCAGATGTCATCTGCATTTTACTAGTGAAGAAACTGAGACTTAAGAGGTCATTGTAATTTTCATGGCATACTATGTCTGATATTAGGGAGGCTAGAGTATAAATTCATTTAGCTCTAAAAACCAATGTCTTTGATCTTTATGGTTATTTGAAACAAAGCACTAGGTTCTGAAAATTTATGAGATTTCAATGGGCTTAATACTGGGAATTCTGACTATAATTTACAGGTTTGGTTTGAAATACATATGAGTACATCCAACTGATTATTTCTTATTTGTTCATTTCATTTGATCTTAGATTATTTGGCAAGTCAATGAAATATTTTCTATTATGTTTTCTAGTGTGTTCAAAGCAATATCTCAATTGATCAGTTGATAGATAATAAATAGAATGTGAATATACATGGAGATAGATAGATAGATAGATAGATAGATAGATAGATAGATAGATAGA